ATTCAATTTGACACCGAATCCGGTTTGTTTCACGGAACACACAGTATCATAGTATCACAGTATCTCTCTCACAGTATCACAGATACTGTGAATTCTCGAAAGCTGGTTTGTCACGTAGCCGCCTCATTGAGGTGCTCTTTTCTTCATTACAAGATCGTTAGCGTGGACCCTTGTCTCGCTGTCGTCCATTAAAAGGAGATTTGAATGAGGTTCGCAGCTTCAATACAACGTCGTATGCAAATACACCATGCGCAGGCCCTTCACTATTTCACATTTCTGCTCAAATTTGTGTAGCAAGAAGTATTATTACATATACATATTACGCGTAAAGGTTATTTAAGTTAAGACACAAAATAAGTAGCTGTAAGAATTTTGAGAATTCATAGCTGCGATGGTTTTGTTATGAATGAATAAAGGTCTGCGGATCCCTGCGCGAACGGCTTAAAGTTGACGGGTCCGTATACGAACTCTATGAGCGCAGCCATTCATACTTCTGTCCTACAATTCTGATGTGTTTAGATTTCACCTCATTCAAGCCATTATGCATATTAAGTCATTGATAATGCCTTCTCAACCTTAAGATACATATTATAAGGTACAAGAATTATGTAAGTTGTGAACTATTTAGATTTTTAAAACCTACAGGTTAAAATGATTTTGCAGGAAAATCCCTCATTGAAATAATAACAATAAATTATTCGCTATAATTTGAGTTGTTATATTCATGTACCTTTTCTTTATGCGCGTAAATTTTTGTCCGTTTTTTAACATGACAAATTTGAAGCATCATAAACTAAATTTGACAACTGAAGCAACTAAACTAAATGCATCATAATTTTTGTTACCTCATTGAAATCATTTCTTTTTCCATGAGGTCTTTTATTTTCAATGCATATCTTTCCTGTCAACGAAAAATGGCATAAGGTTTTGAGCTTTCTATATATAAAAAGTGCCTTGTCCAATACATGTAGGATGGAAGAAACACCCTAGCTTCATTCTTCCTGTTAAGCTCAACTACTACCTAAAACGAATGAAATGACTCAATAGGTTTATATTATATTTTAGGGCAAGATAAGTTCTACTAAAAATTCCAAAAAAACTTTGTAATGCATATAATAAAACGGTTAGACAATTTACTGCTGGAAAAAGTAATTTATGTCTAAAGCAAGTGACTGGGAGTCACTCATATTTCTAGGCTGGTGGCCCATCTCTTATCTTTATTTGGTCAGCAGCCCATAGAGCCGCGCAGACTCTAGCCTATTCTCATATCAGCCTCGCTGCTTTCTTTCGTCTAACTCTTCTCGCTGCGTAACTTGTCGTCGCCAGGAATGTTTCACAGGCATATTGGCACCTGCACTTATCAACGGCTGACCTCGTACAACGTTTGTATTTAGATCGTTACAAGGATTTAGGGTTACAATATTAGGATTTAGGGTTACAATATTATCAAGGATTCAGGGTTACAATCTTAGGATTGTAACCCTATATCCTTGTAACCTTACAGAAAACCCTTATTATTTATATCAACTTTCAATAATATTATTATTCAACTATTTTCATTAAAATAATGTAGAATTAGTATTGGATATTAAATAAAATTCACCCGATTTTTAAGAAAAAAATTAGGTAGCCTGCTTCATCATCACAAAAAAAGAGTTCAGAAAGTATGTCATAGAAATTAGTGAGACTAAATTAACATAGTAGAGACTGAAACCTAAATTGATCCATAGAAGAAATGGATTAAAAACCTATCGATTATTTCAATGGCATGAGAACTACAAACGCAGTTCAAGCGAGGTTCTCTTTAGTTTACGAGTACAATTGTGCATTGTAGCTTAGGATATGATGACACGCAACATCCAATTCATACTGACTAAGCACCAGGAAAGGAGTTATTGTACTGGAAACCAACTTGCTCTCCCATCTCATTCAGCCGTGCACCTTATTCTATCTATAGTGGGTGCAGCACCGGTGTATGAAGGGAATGTTAACATTTTTGTTGCAAACTGCACTTATTCAATACTGAGGATTTTGGAATCTTTGAGGATTTTTGAAAAGAAACCTAAACAAGGTTTATAGTCCGTATCCTTTTTGAAATTCCCGATAAAGTTTTTCAGTAATTCGATTTCCACAGAATGTGTTCATATCGATGGATTACACTTATATCATTATATTCTTGAGCTGATGATGGAGCTGGTCACTAGAACGTTTCTCTGGAATTATTTTAAAAATGTTCGGAATGGTGAGGTGGTTGGCCACTTCAGAGCATACGTGGCCGACACTTCATTTTATGATCTAAACGCCGCTCTTGGTATCATTTTTGCCTCGTTATGACTAATATATTTATATATAAATCTATAATGAACACATTTGGCCTAGGTGGTTTTGCATTTAAATGCATTTTAAATAACAACGTAAAAGGTCTTGGCGAATGCATTTCACCGTAGTTTTTTATTTGTTAAAAATATTTGCGAGGTATGAACTTTTTCGTGGACGATCAAGTTTGTATGTTATGAAACACTAACATATATTGCAATTATTATTTGTTTAAGTCAGCTGCTGGGGGTAAAAAAAAGTAGGTAGCCTCTACTGTCTATAAGCCTGAACAAAATGTATGCGATGTTCAGTATGTATAAATCAAAAATGAAAAATTTCGGATTACCTAATTAAACCAGTTCAGATTATTTACCGAATAGTTTGGGTTACATCTCCTTACCCTTTAAATGCTCACAGGTGTGTGATCTCGGAAATATTTTCATATCTGAATATGTGAATAAAATTAATATTGAATATGTGTGCAAGTTAACAAATACATTTGAGACCATCCGAATTTAAAATTTGGTTACGAAAGCAAATTGCCTTAACAATTGCATATTCACAGTCATTATTTAAACTTAATTGTGATATAGAAACAGCGAATTAACACTATGAGCTTCTCGGTATTGTGAAAAGAGTAATTGAAGTTCCAAATCAAGAGTACGAAGTTCCAAATGAAGGGAACAAAGTTCGAATTAAATTAAAGTTGATGGACGTCTTTCGAAAAACGATCCCGCGCATGTTGAATGTGACACGATATATTCTCGGATATTGTGCCTGCTGCTGGCTGTTTCAAACGAATCCTAGGTGGCTGTTGTGAAGCAAAAGTGCCCGGTTCAGTTCTATCAAGAAGATTGATCGTTTATTGCAAGTGACGTCGCACGGCCGAGCTTCCGAAGTTGCGGAGTTTAAAATGTTACATCACACTAAAGTTCTTCTGCTGGTATCGACTGAAGGGAATTTGTTGCGTGGCTTCAACGGACGAAGAAAATCTGTATTAAGTAAGAAGCTTGTATGCTGATGAAGTTACACTTAGTGCCGTCGTTGTATAGGCGCAAGAGTTAATCTCACCAAAGGGATTACTATCGTGAGATTAACTTTGGTACTTTCATTCAATTAATGATTACGGAATTGGAGCCTTGAAAGGTTTACTAGTTCGGTTGGTCGGAACAGCCTCATATTTTACACCCATACACCCAAACAAAGGATTTAATTTGTAAATTTACGTTTTTCACAGAATAATACACCGCAATATTCTTAATGAATGTATATGAAAGGAAATGTTAGCTCATTAATGTCAAAGCCGATGAAAGTCGAACTCTGAAAATTATTTCGCTAGTGACGTTGTAAGGCAGAGGTTTCAAATTCATCTGCATTAATTATTTTAGTTCAAGTTTGGATACCAGAACTTGAGGAAAATACTATATTCCATGCTTCATAAAAATTCGAATTGTCAACTCGAGATTATTACTTAACTTTAAATATAAAAGTGTTGATTCAGAAAATACTGGAAAAAGAGAAGTGTGGGCAATTTAAGCTTTACAGTGAAGAAATGTAAGTTTTTATCTACATTCATCTTTATATCTACAAACATTCAATCTGCTCTCAAACTCATCTGACAACTTTATATTTTGGTCATTCAACAATCGTCCAGCATTTCTTTGGAACTAGCGTAACATTACCTGCAGGTTCTATTCATTCCTGCATTATATGTATTGACTATATATGATCCGGCCATATTGTGTATATTAATATAGAAGCATAGTTGTGTTCAAAGTTACAGAATTCCCAAATGCTGGAAAAATATTTTTCTACAAATTACAAGTAGCTTTTATTGGAGAAATAAGTCACGCAATCAATGTGTCATCAACGATACTTAAGTGAATATATTTTCTCTGCATAATGATATTTTTACTGAGTGAACTGCATGACTGGGCATGAATTTCCATGCGTGGCCGCCCTAGGCTCGCAGCGGCGCTTGTGATTAGCACGGCGGTAAGAATGCGGATTCCTGAGCATTGGTCCGGCGACGGCTATTGGCCAACTTGCGGCGAGCAGGAATGCCTGGAACATTTCCTGTACGAATGTGCAGCGGACAAATTACCGCATGTTTTGGTGTTCGGGGTATCTTGCAGCACCGGTGACTACCATAACTGTGTGATGCACCATACACCACCATAACGGTGAGATACACCATACACCACCATAACGGTGGGATACACCATACACCACCATAACGGTGGTATACACCATACACCACCATAACGGTGGTATACACCATACACCACCATAACGGTGGTATACACCATACACCACCATAACGGTGGTATACACCATACACCACCATAACGGTGGTATACACCATACACCACCATAACGGTGGGATACACCATACACCACCATAACGGTGAGATACACCATACCTACACCACCATAACGGTGAGATACACCATACACCACCATAACGGTGAGATACACCATACACCACTGTAGTTTAGAATATGGCAAATTAGGTAGCTGGTGTAAGTAGATTGCAAATTGCAATCTACTTACACCACCAGTATGCTGTATAATCAAATTACAGTCTACATATACCAGTGTGGTGTATTAATTATTTCGCGTGGCACGCGTAAGTTCAGATGGCGGCATGAGCTAGGGTGACGTCTCTAGAGTGACGCTGCTCGCTAATTATGCCGTGAGCTTAGTGTATTGCCGGCAGCATAACGCCGCTCTTCTTGTAACGTGATACTCTTCTGCGTGATGATGGTGCGTGATGCTGGTGCGTGATGGTGGTGCGTGATGGTGGTGCGTGATGGTGGTGCGTGATGGTGGTGCGTGATGGTGGTGCTTGATGGTGGTGCGTGATGGTGATGCGTGGTGGTGGTGCGTGATGGTGGTGCTTGATGGTGGTGCGTGATGGTGATGCGTGGTGGTGGTGCGTGATGGTGGTGCTTGATGGTGGTGCGTGATGGTGATGCGTGGTGGTGGTGCGTGATGGTGGTGCTTGATGGTGGTGCGTGATGGTGATGCGTGGTGGTGGTGCGTGATGGTGGTGCTTGATGGTGGTGCGTGATGGTGATGCGTGGTGGTGGTGCGTGATGGTGGTGCTTGATGGTGGTGCGTGATGGTGATGCGTGGTGGTGGTGCGTGATGGTNGCCTGCGCGTGACCGTGGTGCGTGATGCCTGCGCGTGATGGTGGTGCGTGATGCCTGCGCGTGATGGTGGTGCGTGATGCCTGCGCGTGATGCCTGCGCGTGATGGTGGTGCGTGATGCCTGCGCGTGACCGTGGTGCGTGATGCCTGCGCGTGATGGTGGTGCATGATGCCGGCGCGTGATGTCTGTGCGTTTCACCAGCATCACTCTCTCAGCTTGCCAAAAGCTTCTTCTCACCCACCTCAATTACGAGCAAAATGACTATTTTCCATCAAATATCCCCACCTTCACTCTCATTTATATCTTTAACTTTTTGGTTGACTCACTACCTGATCTCACTTTCCCCTCACTCTCATCTCTCTCTTCTCTTCCATGTCAACTGTATGCTTCTTCTATCATGTATTCCCCCTCACCCTGATCTCAATTTGACCTTCCCGCTTCGTCCCTTCATATTTCACCGCAGCTATTAAAGGACATTTTAGTGGGTCTCAAATTTGGCTGTTTTTACTGAGAATTTTTCAGAGCTTTGTACAGAATTAGCATGTCATTTGTGGGGCCAAGAGAGCGGCTCTAAAGGGCCGTAAAATGCATGCCATCCAGCCATGCTTCCGCAACCTGAGCGACGCCGGAAAGATTTTGTTGCTTTACCTCGTCTTGCTGCTGTGCCTCCGTGCCATCAGTAGCCGGATGAATATCATTCCTACCAAATAATGTAAATAAAGGAATTTTTAGGTAAATTTTGTGAAACTTTGGAAAACAATTTGTGTCTTCGCTGGGAAATAATTCGTGTTTTCATTGGAAAACAATTCGGGTTATCACTGGAAAGCAATTCGTATTTTCGTATTAAAACAGTTGGTACTTCCGCTGGAAAACAATTCGTGTTTTCGCTGGAAAACAATACGTATTTTTGTTGGAAAACAATTCGTATTTTCGCTGGAAAACAATTCGCGTTTTCGCTGGAAAACAATTGGGGTTTTCGATCCATCATATCACTGCTTTTTGTTCAAAATTTTCTGTAATTTCAGTGAATTTGTCAGTGTCTTTGAAGGATTTGAACTTTGCGAAGATGAGTGAAGCAGCAGTTGCCGGTTACCTCGATGTTTACATGGCTTCATCATTTGATTTCTTTGACGGGTTGATGAGTTACGTGAGACCTGAAGGCAGCGTTTACTGTTCATCTTCTGACGCAGACTAATATTGCACCACAAATACAAATAAAACTTTTATTTTGTACACACACCTTGAATCGTATTAGAGCAAAGGTAAATAATAGCGACGAATAAAATTATTAGAAGCAAGTCGAAACGAGCAAACAATTTTTCTTTGTGAATTTGATTTTGTTTACAGATATTTTCGTACCGAATGTTACACTCGCCCAACAGCTTGGCTAGTATTTTGGCTTTCAGTATTCAGAGGAAATTAGCTTCATGACCCGCGCTGCTCGGAATTGATATAATTATCTAGTTATACAAGTAATTATTATATAAGTATAGTACTTATATACTTAAGTACTTATATAATTATAAATTATATTATTATATAAGTAATTATATCTAATTATATAATTAGATATAATTACTGAGATTTAAGAATTGATTTCTCCCTATTCCATGTCCTATCATCCGGTCTGCATTTTAAAACTTTACGAGTATTTATTAAATATAGGCCTGTTAAAACTCACATTTCACATTTTATGTACAGATATTCCATTTTGCTCCCGTTTAAAAATTGTTTTTAAATCAGTTTCCTACCCACCAATTAAAAAAATATAATTTCAATTTTTGATCCGACCCTTAATTATGCATAGTTGTGAAATGCTTAGTATTTCTTACTGCAAGAATAAATTTTCTGGTCTCAATAATATCCCTACATAATGAATATGGGTATAGTGTTTGCTGCACCCGGACAGCCCCTTATATATAGATACTACCAGCGCCAGAGTTCGAACACATAAACTTTGACTAATATAAATCTATACATGTTTTTAATATAACACGAACTATCCACAATTTCTAAGCTGCGAGATCTTGGATGACTCAGGCTATAAAGTAACGCTTTTGGGTCGAAATCACGGAGTCTAATTCATAAAGTCGGTTATTTCAAGACCACTGTTTCAATCCTTCATTTTCGTTCATTTAGGCGATTCCCCTCAAGCAAATCTTCAGAAGTTCCACCATAATTGGGTTTTTAGATTAGGAAGCGTGATTTTGAATTTTAGTTGAGAAACTTTCCATCGTTCGACCGTCACGTTGGAAAATTTCTTGCGTCCTTTAGCCATTTTCGAAGAGTTGCAGGAAAAATGGTTGGATGGAAAGCTTGACGAACTTTAGACGTTTAACGCACTCTACAAGGGCTGGAAAAATCGACATCCTAGACGAGTTCACTTTAAAATGAGACGCGAGGTTAATAGTGGATTTATTGGATTTTATGGTCATGGAATTGTATCCTGTATGAGAATGTTAAATCAAACATTGGCTTACAGGTCACACAACTGAATCTTGCATGCGAATGATACAAGCATCACAGCAATGAATTGTTGACTCACTGATTTAATCTTTAGTTGTATGCATTACTACATTCTCATTGCTTTCGTTGGCTCTTAATTTATACTTAGTATTCCAGAAACATGTTACAACTTTGTGATGGATGGACTGAAGGTTAATTTAAAATATAATCATGGTTACATTTTTTGGCACCGGAGCTGGCAATAAATAACAGATCTTAGGTCACGTGCAATGTGCTGACAGCTCAGGCGTCTCGCGCTGTTGCCTCACCGCGCTCATTGCCTGCGCTGCTGACAGCAATGCTGACTTATGGTCGGGCAAAGGCCGGCCAGCCGTGTGCTGTTGGGAGTACGGCCGAATTTCGACGGGAAAAATTAGCTGATTGAAAGCAGCACGTGGCAGCAGCTATAACATTCAAGTGACACGTGGCAGCAGCTATAACATTCAAGTTCATTCAAGTAACACGTGGCAGCAGCTATAAGATTCAAGTGACACGTGGCAGCAGCTATAACATTTGACACGTGGCAGCAGCTATAACATTCAAGTGACAATTGGATTCTGTTATACATGACAAAATGTGCTCTCCCAAAGCATTGCTGTATAACCATTGAGTGGACGTTATACAGAAGCTCATGCTTATCGATAGCTATATTCTGCTAATCTATTTACAATTTATCCTTTACTTGAAAAATTTCAATTTATGTATTACTTCAAACATAATAAACTTGTAAATTCAGTATATGAGTGAATTTTCTAACAGGCATATTTATTTAGGGCTCCTCAGGCTACACCAACAAGAGAAGTAAGGCGACAACCGAGCTTAGAGTCTGGCACCTGAACATGGAAAAATACTTAGAATTCAATGCTGAGCAATTTTAGCCGCCAAGAAATATCCAGGGCTGCATTTTCAGTTGTTATTGAAAGCGTGCGAGACCGCTTATACGTGCCTGAGCATTGATCATGGGTTGTGACATACAAAGCTTGTTGCTGAGATCCTCTGCAGTGGCGACACGTGATATTTTTTTGGCTCATGTTTTTCCTGTTTTAAGACTGCGTGCTTGGTGTTAAAATTATACCTAATGTCCATGTTTTAGACACAATAAAATTCAACACAATAAAATATAATAAAATTCAGTTGCAGGAATCATTTATGTAATATACATTATTATGAGAATTTGAAATAAAATTGTTTATCTTAATTTGTAACGGATAATGCTATTACTCTACTCTGCATTAATATCGGTGACGCTACACATTAAATGTGTTGATTGTCAACTCTCGAAATCGGTTAGCATGGAATATAAAATCGAGGAGGAATGAATGCCTTCATTTGCAGCGAAGGGAAAATTGAACCAGGGCTCCTACAAGCATGCTTTTTCCTCTTTTTACTCCACCCTTTAATTTTTTAATGGAATCGTAAGTGCTCATATGAAGCAAAATTATTAATAATGAAACTTGATGTCACGTTTTGAGGTTTTCATGAAGCACAGAAAATAGATTTTTAATTGATTTTTACTTCGTCTATTCAATTCACTCACTCACTGCTCTTTCAGTGATCAAATTTATCAAGTTCACTAATACCGAAATGGCTATCCCATATGTAACCGCTGCCTTGCAGTCTAAGATGGTTACGTACCATTCTAGTAATGGTATTCACGTTCACTGACTTAGTAATTCACACAGGGCATGAAACTATGGATATTCAACACAACCAAATTTAATTACAGCAAAACTCAGCAAAGTTTCGTCAAACGGGCTTCAATTGTCACATGTCTAATGCCGCAGGTTGAAATTATTTGCATTTTCGTCTGCAAAGGGATTAAGGGCTATTACATACAGTAATAAATCCTACAACCATTCAAATCTGATAAATAACAATTTATGACAAATGTTCAGCATCCCCGCACCATACCGTACTGGTCGGCGTCGGGAGCAAAGTGACACGTGGAAAAATAGTGATGCTGAAAACTACTCACGGTAAACAAATGCTATACGAGATGCGTCAAACTGCGGCTACACCATATAAGTCCTAAATCAAATATTTCAATCAATAGATTTAAAATGATTCGTCTCTAATTACTATTTAAACTCGAAAACTTTAATGGAAGATGTTGATCCGTGGTGACGTTCTAACATAATCGCTCTGTCTTCTTCGTGACGATATTTTCGCTTTGTTGCTCCTAAACGTAGCTCAAGGTCGGCATGGCAGTACAGTTGTTAACGACCGTACTTCGGAATGGTTGCATAGTTCAATGGCTCGAATTCTATGATGATACTCTTGGCTCGATGACTTATCGCCATTGAGACACTGTCGGTACGACTGTAGTGTTGTAGAAATGTCAAATTACTGTAGTTTTTTCATACAGAAATGTCAAATGTCGTATTCTCCCCGCGATCTTACCTATGTGTTGATGCTCTCGAGCTGTAATAACAGTTGACTAAATGCCTCAAAATTTCTCGAGGTCATTAATTACTGCTCAAAATCTGCTGACCCACGATCTTGGCCGTCATCCATGTCTGCTTATAGCTGCATGTGTGACCAGAACGTTTAGAGAATCTCTCAGGCGCGAACGTTGGCTGCTCTGCATATAAGGTTATTTTATTTAGAAGCCATAAGCAGCCGCGTGACTTGGCCTAAATGTCCCCAGTAGATATCGTGTCCTTCGGCAACGCCTTTGGAATTTCTCGCGCGATAAGCAA